GGATTTCCTCGACCAGGTCGAGCTCATCCCTCATGGCCTCGTTGTTCATTTCCTCGTCAAGAGGCACCTCTGTTCTCCTAGATGGATCCATGATCTCTACGGGGATGACCGCCTCGGTGCCATAGGTTAGTCGGAATGGATTCTCACCCGTCGTCGAATGGGACGTGGTGCAGTAAGCCCACAGAACGCTATGTAGTTCCTCGACCTACCCCCTTTTTGCTTTGCCCAATCTGCGCTTGAGTCCTCGTAGGATGACCCTGTTGGCGGCCTCGGCTTGCCCGTTGGTTTGGGGATGCTCGACTGAGGTGAAATGTTGTTTGGTTCCGAGTTTGGCGAAGAAGCTTCGGAAGCCTTGGTCGGTGAATTGGGTACCGTTATCTGCGATTAGCGCCTGCGAGATTCCAAACTGGGCGAGGACGTTTCGTTTGTAAAAGCGGAGGATATTATGGGAGGTGATTTTCGCAAGGGCCTCGGCCTCTATCCACTTTGTAAAGTAATCCGCGGCCACGATGAGGAACTTATTTTGGTACGTTCCTTGCACGAATCGTCCGAGGATGTCCATCCCCCACCAGGCAAATGGCCACGAGGATGACAATATATTCAGCTCGTGTGGGGGGGCGAGATGCATGTTGGCGTGCCTTTGGCATTTGTCGCATCTCTTGACATGGTCTTTTGCGTCTTGTTGCATTTTCGGCCAGTAGTACCCCGCTCGTAGAGCCTTCATTGTTAGGGATTTGCCACCCATGTGCTGGGCGTTAATACCTTCGTGTATTTCCCTTAATATCTCGGGGACTGTGGATTCGTCGACGCACTTCAAGAGTGGGATGGAAAATCCCATGCGATATAGTTTGTGCTCGATCACCATGTAGGAGCATGCTCGTCGTTTGGTCGCGACTGCTTCTGTTCAGTCCGGGGTGAGTTCCCCCCTTGTTAGGAAGTTAAACATCGGGGTCATCCAGCACGAGCTGTCTCCGATGGCGTTTACCTCGGGTGGAGTCGAGGTTTTTTCGATGCTCGGGCGAGATAGGGATTCTTGTATGACGGATTTGTTTCCGTATTTCTTTCTCGTGCTTGCGAGCTTCGAAAGTATATCGGCCCTTGTGTTTTGCTTGCGCGGTACGTGCGAAATTTCTGCTCGGTCGAACTTTTTCATGTACTCTTTGGATAAGTTTAGGTATTCAACGAGGCTGTTGTTTTTAGCCTAGTATCCTCCTTGGACTTGGGACGCGACGAGTTGAGATTCAGTGAAGATTTGTACCTCACGGGAACCTAGGTCCTCGGCTAGTCTTAGACCCGCGAGCAGGGCCTCTTATTCCGCTTGGTTGTTCGAGGTCGGAAAGGAGAGGGTGAGTGAATGCTCGACCACCACACCTTCCTCGTTCTCTAGGAGGATCCCGGCGCCACTCCCGGACGAGCTAGACGCTTCGTCGATGAAGATGATCCACTTGTGCTCTTTTCCTGCGGGGGGTTGTGAGCGGTCTTCTCTGTGACAAAATCGGCCAAAGCTTGTGCCTTTAAGGATTTCCTGCTCTCGTATTGGATGTCGAACTCAGAAAGTTCCAAGGACCATTTCAGCATTCCACCTGCCATGTCTGGGCGACCCAGGAGCTGTTTTACGGGCTGGTCCGTTTGCATTACAATTGTGTGCGCGAGAAAATAGTGTCTGAGCCTTCTCGCTGAGTTGACGAGGGTCAGAGCTACCTTCTCTATCTGTTGGTATCTAACCTCGAGCCCTTGAAGCGCTTTGCTCGTGAAATAGACGGGTTTTTGTCCGTCGGGCGTCTCGCAAATGAGGGATGCACTGACGGCTTCGACCGCGACGGCCAGGTACAGGAACAAAGGTTCCCTGTCGACTGGTCGTGATAACACAAGCGGTTGAGATAGACTTTGTTTAAGATGGAGCAGCGCCTGCTCGCATTCCTCGGTCCATTCGAAGGCTGCTTCCTTGCGAAGGAGCTTGAAGAAAGGGAGGGCGTGTTGAGCGGATTTTGCAACGAAACGGGATAACGAAGTGAGCATGCCATTCAGGACTTGTATGGATTTCTTCGATGTGGGTGTGGGGAGGTCGAAGAATGCCTGACATTTGTCGGGGTTGGCTTCGATTCCTCGTTCTGTCAGGTAGAAGCAGAGGAATTTACCCGCCTTGACCCCGAACGTGCACTTCTCGGGGTTAAATCTCATTTTGCATTGCCTCGCTTGAGCAAAGACTTCCCTGAGGTGAGCGGCGTGGTCGGTGTCTGCTCGGGACTTGACGATCATGTCGTCCATGTATACCTCGAGCATATCCCCGATTTGGTTATGAAATACTTTGTTCATCATCCGTTGATGCGTTGCTCCTGCATTTTTCAGACCAAAGGGCATTACATTGTAGTAATAGTTGCCCGAGCTGGTCATGAAAGTGGTGCAATGCTTGTCGCTTATTGCCATTGGGATTTGGTTATAGCCTGAATAGGTGTCCATAAACGATAATATTTTATAACCGTCCAAGTTATTGACCATCATGTCTATGTTAGGTAAAGGAAATGCATCCTTCGGGCATGCCCGGTTAAGATCGGTATAATCAACGCACATTCGCCATTTTCCATTATTTTTCTTGACAAGTACAACATTTGACAACCAGGTTGAATACCGGGCTTCCGAAATAAAATTTGCCTCTATGAGGTCTTTTACAACTTTTTCAGCGGCCTCCGTTTTCTCCGGAGACTGCCTACGTCTACGTTGCACTATTGCCCTAGCGGCTGGATCGATGGCGAGTTGGTGATAGGCGACCTCAGGGTCGAGTCCGGGCATCTCCGCAGCGCTCCACGCGAACAGGTCCGCATTCTCGCGCAAGCAAGCTTTGATTTGCTTCCTTGCCAAGTCGGGGAGTCCAGTGCCAATCTTCACTCCTCTGCTTGGGTCGTCACCAAGGGGGACGAGTTCGAAGTCCCGTCCGGGATTGGTCGAAGGGGGACTTGCTCGTCGCTAGGAGGCTCATCCTGGTCGAAGCGGGTGTCCAGGGATATTGAGTCGACCTCTGGAGGGTCTCTCTGTTCTTCCGCTTTGACGGGCTCTGACCTTTGAGGTTCTGGTCGTGTTGTTGCAGCTCTCTTGGAAGGCCTTGTGCTGGTGTCGACCGTATCACGTCCCTTGGATGCCGCGTTAAAAAACCTTCGGGCAACTGCTAGGTCCCCTTGGATGGTGGTGACCTATGCCCTCTTGGTGTAAAAATTCATTTTTAGATGAACGGTGGAGGGTACTACGGTCAGCTCCGCCAGTGTCGGCCTTCCCAGAATGCAGTTGTAGAGGGATGGGCAATCAATGGCGAGGAAGCGCACCTTGACTTGTCTCGTTGCCATATCCTTGCTGAATGTGACCATGAGCTCGACGTATCCCCAAGGCTCAGAAGTTGAGCTGTTGAAGCCCTGCAGGTCCGACCCCATATAAGGCGAGAGGTGAGAGTCGTCGAGCTGTAGGGTTCAGAACAGTTGGTTGTACATCACGTCGACAGAACTTCCTTCTTCGACGAGGACACGGTGTACGTCGAAGTTAGCCATTCTCGCTCTTATCAGCAGAGGGATGACCGAATTGGGGGCCCCTCCGGGGAGCTCCTCGAGATAGAAAGTGATTGGCTCCGACCTGCCCCTCACTTTTTCAAAGGTCACCGTTTGAGGGGGGGTCGTGCCGACCAACTCGTCCAACTTCCTCTTAGATGAATTTATGATCAAATCGTTGAACCCTCCACCATTGATGACCATGGCAGAGGGGAAGCGTTCCCACCTGTTGTGCATCGACAGAGGTTCTTGCATATGATCGGGGACATAAAAGTCATCGGGTCTTGTGACGGAGAATGCGGTTTGGATGGGAACCGACTCGTCAGATGGTCGGGCATCCTCTTCTACATCCCTCGTCTCGCGGGCGTCACGACAAGGAGCGTCGTTTCGCTGATACTGCACGAGTCTCCCCCCTTTTATGAGGGTCTCGATGGCGTCCTTGAGGTGGACGCAGTCTTCAATCAGATGCCCGTGGCTCCGGTGGTACTGACAGTATTTGCTCCGGTCCACCCCGGTTTTGGCAAGAGCTGGTCGGGGACGTTTGACGCCTCCATGATAGCTTGTGACAAGGGACCGCGGGGGTCATCCTCGTCACTCCGTTCCGGGGAGCGGGACGACGATCTGATGTATTGTCGGTCACGATGGCCCTGGTCGTGCTGGACGTTCCTCGAGCAATGTGACCGTTGATAGATTCCTCCGTGTCTGTCCCCGGGAGGTCTTCGTTCTTGCCGTAAAGGGTCGTGGTCGCGCCTTCCGGTTTCAATGAGTTATTCTCTCTCCAAGGGGGGTCGCTGCCCGACTAGTCGGGGCGACGGGCTTCGAGAGATGTCCCGATCCTGTCTCCGCGGGGGAGATCGGGGACATTCCTCCGTTCGTCGAGGAGGAGGGGATTGAGGCCTCCCGTGTCTTCTAGGGGGCCTTCGTTCGTCTTTAAGTGCTCTCAGTCTTTCCCCCTGGGCAAAGATGAGATAATTGGTCTGATTAATCGCCGCGAACAGTGCCCTGGTCGTGGCGTCTGCCCCGACGGGTACAAGAACCTCATGGAATTGGACGGCTGGATAGTTCGGAGGAACTAGATGATCTTCTTCAAGCCGAGGAGGGATTGATGAAGACGAGGTTGTGGCTCCGTCTCGGTAGTTGGAAGGCCCGAGAATGTTACCGCCGGGGACAGTGATATGGCCGGTGATGCCAGCGTTGTCGGGGTCGGCATTGTTGTCGGCGAGGTTGTTGTTAGCTTCGATGATGCGGACGTTCTGGTTGTCCTGAGTCTGGTCAGCCATGACAGTCGAGGATGGTTTTAGCTTTGGTCTTTTTAAGTTAATAAGACGGGGAAGCTTAGATTCCCACAAACGGCGCCACTGATCGTACCAGATTAGAATTGGAAAGTCACAACTGGCTTTGAATTGGATTTGAAGGAGATGGGGGGGGGTACCAGCAAGACACTCCGGTGACAAAGTGAGAGACGGAATGAGCAGACAAGTAAGTACGTAGGTGTGAATGAATGAATACCCGACCCTCTTGAAATATATAGTGGGGACCTGCACGTGGTCCTCTACCTGGATGATGCTCTCCGCAGAATAGGGAGGGTAAAGGCGCGATCTTTCCGGGGCCCTGAGGACTCTGAGACATCCAGAGAGGTTGAAAGTCTGTCCTACGAGGAGGGTACTCGAGCAGGACTTGGATTGGGATGTTCCTCGTCTGAGGCGTCCCTCGTCGGAGACGTTCTTCGCGGGCACCAGCAGGCGCGGTCGTATTCGACCAGTCACCCATGATCGGGTGTGCTCGAAGGATCTAATGCTCAGCATGATACGTTGTAAAGCTTGGATTGGGCCTCACTGGTGATTGGGCCACAGACAGACCCAGTTCAGAACAGTTTTACAAAATAAATAAAATAAAATGAAATGTGAAGAGACTCATTTCATCAAATAACACTATTTAATCATTTTTTTATTTACCAAAATCAGAGTGTATCTAATAAAATAAAATAAATAAAAATTATAATATTTTTTCTCCGTTCAATTTTCAAATAGAAAATATTTATTAGTAAGAAAATATAAATATAAGAAATATAAAAATAAATCTCCATCATTTATTATCACAATCCCGTATGATCTCTATTAAAAAAGAAATTAAAATTAAAATCAATTTAAAATTTATCTATAAAATAGTTATATGCGTACATTCTTATATTTTTTTCAAATTATTTCTACTAAATAAGATTACTCTTTTCAAATAATAAAATTTGATATTAGTTTCGAATTAGAGTCTATTTCGTAAGACAAAATTTCGAACTTATAACTTAAAGGTTATAAAGTCATTCGATAATTTAGATCTGTTTGATAACAATTTTTCATCATGAACTTATAACTTATTTTGCTAACTTATAATTTATTATCCAGACGCTATTTCAAATAACGATTTAGCTTATAGCTTATCATCTCTTCTTCCTTTTTTATCTTTATCATTTTAATAAAAACTCAATTTTATTTTTTATAAATTATTTTAATTTAAAATAAAATAATTATATATTAAATATTTTTATGTCATTTTATAAACTTGAATAGTTAATTTTATCAAACACTTCAATTATATGGAAAAAAAAGTAAAAAAAACATAGAGAATTAAAAGTCGGGGTTCCAAGTGCATAGCAGCAGCACCACCTTCCACCGTCACAAAACCACCGTCACAGCTCGATCAAACACTCCCACGGTGCAGACACAGAGACGTCAACTCCGACCACCACGCAACACCTCCACAACAAACCACCGCTCGTCAGGCCGATTTTTCTGTTACTGGTGGCGAGTAAGTTCTCTTTCAATAAACCCTAAAACTGAAATGTGATAACTTCAGTTCCCAATTTCTCATGGCAGTAGCACGAGAATTTTCCGCAACCTTGATCTCTTGCTCGAAGCTTCACACTTCTCTTTTTCAACGTCTCTTCCTTCGTAGAAAGACTTCCAAGATTTTGGTCAAAGGTAATTGCACACAAATGCGTGTATAAGACAATGGTTATGATTCTGTGTTAGTTAGGTGATCCTTAAGCTATCATTTACTGTGTTTATGATTGAGTTTTAGTTTGTAGAATGCTGTTAAAATTTTAAAAAATGTACTCGGTGAAACCCTTTGCATGATGTAAGAACAACTAAATCATACTCACTGTATCTACAGACCATAGAATGCATCAGGCATTAGATTACTTGAAATTGTGCTCTAAAGGTTTTTCTTAATGGGATTCTTGTAGTGTGATACTTATCAATCATTGCCTTTTGATTCTTGTTAGTGCTGTTGATTGTTGTTTTCTTGTAAAAACTGACCCTAGTTAACACTTGCGGGTGTCGTGATCTATAAATCTTGGTGCAGGTTTAACATTTTCTACTACAGAGGAGAAATTAGCTGAAGCTTTTTCTCAATACGGAAATGTTCTCAAAGGTATGTGTCTGTTTTGTCGACACAAACCCCAAACCTCTCAGATTAAAATTCTCATGCATGCTTCATTTCGTTTTTTTGCAGCTGATATAGTATTGAATAAAGCCAAGAATAGATCCAAAGGTTTTGGATATGTGACTTTTTCAGAGGAGGAAGAAGCCCGCAAAGCCCAGATTGACATGAATGGAAAGGTTAGAATCTACTAACCTAATTTTCTTTTAACTCTGTTAATTATTTAAATATAGCCTCAACGAAAAACAAAATCAGGAAATGATTCAACGCTTTCTGCAGATATTACACGGACGTGTCTTGTCTGTAGTCATGGGTCGTCCTAACGAGCCGAAGAAAACTTACAAGCACAAAACTGAAAATACAAATGCTGATAATGATGATGTGCGTATCAATTGAAGTAGACAAACAGACCTATAAGGTAAGACAGCACCTAACCCAAGGAGGGAAGGAGCCATATCTCCTCCGAGTGCTTCTGGTTGATAATAATGTTATTGTACAAGTTACATATTTTGATCCACCAACGAATATATAAACGATATATTCAAATTTGATGATTGAAATGATAAAGAAAATATGAGTCAAATTTGAAAGACACTTGAATCAAAATATGAGTTGCTCGATCTTTTATCTGACAGGTTTGATTTACTGCCTACTAAACTTTTTTGTTCTGACAAATATGGAATATTTCCTAGCAAGTAGTTATGCCACTTTAGATTGGGGATAGCAGTGTGCAAGTGCTTTAATGATTGATATGATAAGAAAAAGATTAGGAGCTTGGTTGTCTATTTCTAAAAAGCCTACACTGCCAACATAGATAGGAGACAGCCATGCCTCACGACAAAAAACAATCATTTTCATGAAAACAAAATCTTGTTTCTTTCATATATGCTCCACTATGTGCCTCAATCTATTGATAGTTGAGGTCCTTTAAACATGTTTTGGGTGTTCAATTATGGCTGTATGGATGGACAATGTCCTATTGTAAGAGGCAAGACTTATTTCAATGATTCCTGCTGTACTACACCTTAGTGAGAATAACACTCGTTTGGATTCACATATGGATTTTCTTTCTTGCATCCTAAGGCTATTTTGGTCGGAAATTTGGTGAAAATACAAATAGTAGTTTGGGGATGGCTTGCAGCAGGTCATAAGCAATCTAACTGCGGTTCCAAACACACATTTAGTCTCTAATTGACTGTTGGGAACATCTTCACTTAATCTACATGGTGCTTAGATGAGATCCAAGATTAGTTCTTACCTAAGTAGGAAATTGAATCCACAGCGGTCACCTTCGAAGCCATAATATACATTATACCAAGCATATCAATTACCTATGTTGTTAATAGCAGCCAGAGCGGCCGAGATCGCGACACGAAGTGGAAATTTTGGCTTGGCCGCTTCTTGGTATACTGGTGTAGCGCGATACGGCGTAGCGGCTGCGATAGGGCTGGTACGGCTGAGATCGTGGGTTCGGCCCAAAAGCGACGCTTTTCCCCAAATTCTAATGTTTTAGACATTTTCAAACCCTAAACCAAGCCGCTGTTACAAGTCGGTTCTCTTCTCTCTCTCCCATTTGACTCTACGAAGCACTTCCTCTTCATCGTTCCATCACCATCCTGCTTATCGTCATCTCAGCCTTCTGTTCTACAGGTATTCTTTTTCTTCTGTACTGCTTCAAGTCGTCACATATCACCATCATCATGTTTCTTTTTTTTTTCCTTCTGTTCTGCTACTGCTTCCAATGCTTCTGTTCTACTTTAACTAGTCATGTTCTGTTATTTATTTTGTTCTGTCTTCTACCAACAACCATGACAACTTCTCCTACTACTAATTTTACTCAATCATCATTATCCAAGAAGAATACAAAAGGAAGACAAACAAACTTGAAGGCAAACATAGCGCGTTAATAGAATTGATTTTGATGTTGTAAATTCAAAAAGTTTCAAAATAATGGTTGCAGCTATTGGTATGCATGAGGCAGATTTGAAGTATAATCAAATGTTGTGAGACTTGGTTTTTAAGTATAATCAAACTTTGAAAGAGTGATTTGAGAGTGATGAATTGATTGATCCTGTGGTCATGGATGATGATATTGATACCAATAACCCATAGTTGTGTGAAGGTGAAGATGAAGAGGACGAGGAGGATGAAGTTATAAATGCTTAAGTGTTTGTTTGCTTTCCGAGATTAACAACATAGGCAATTACATTATACTCAAAAGCAAAAACAACCAAGTGATAAGATTAGAAGGAGAGAATGAAACTTCTTGTTCTTTTTCTTTATATGTTCATTTTCAAGAAGAGCATGATGATCACATGAAGTTGCAGTATCATCACCATGAAAGCGTATGACATTGAATGTATTAATGGTTGGTTGTAATGTCTCATTAGAATTAAGATAACAGACTCTTTAGTAAATAATATGTGTGAATTTTTTAACAAAATTATTTTAGAATATAGGAACAAGTCTGCAATATTCTTTATAAAAAAATTAAAATTTTATATGACCAATAAAATTGTTAGATTTCAAAATTTTATGTTTAAATATGAGAGAGTTATTGATCAAAGAATTTATTATTTTTGTTGTCAATTTTTTTTTACTATTAAACATATGTTGAATTAAATATTTAAAATTTTTAAGATATTATATTCAAAACTTAATTATTAAAAAGAGAAGAAAATTAAAAAAAAAATTAAAAAAAAAATTAATTTACATGTCATTAGATGATCATCAAATACAAAAAGAAATAAATTTGAATGGCCAAAATCAAAAAATTGAAATTTAAGGAGTCAAAATCAAACAATTAAAAAATTTGAGATCAAAATTAAACAATTAAAACTTACGAGTCTAAGATCAAACAATTGAAATTACATTTAAATCTAAAATAATAGGCTTGTCAAAGTTATTAATATTATTTCTGATAAAGAAAAATGTATAAATTACTTTTTTAATCGATGTCACAAGTCACGTACGTGGCACATTTTTTTCTTTTTCCTTCTTTGCCTATTTTTTTCTATTCTAATTTTAAGGAATAAAAATTTAGATGAATGACAAATGGAGAGGTTTTTGAGATAGTGAAAAGCGCCATGAGTTTTGTTAATGTGTATTGAAAGAGTTACATAGTTGATAGAAGTGGTGGTGGGTTTCACTATCAGAAATGGTAAATGTAGGGAATAGTTGTTATATACCTTTTTAATTCAAATTTTAGAATCCAAATGTATTAATACAACTTTCTATTTATGTGGCACGCCAAAACTACATTTAAAAAATTCCAGACTTTGAAATTTGTATTGTAAGTTAAGGAGATCGATCTCAGGAATCACTTAACATATCACAATTATGACCAATCTCACAATCATATAATTTAAAATTTATTATAGATTTTAAAGTATGAATTTCTTATGGAAATTGAAATTTCAGCTCCTCTATTTAAGTAACATCGCTCGCGTTGTTATGTCTATCTTCCATTTTGCATTTATGCAAAAGAGTAAAAATAAAGAAATAAATGGTTTCTCAACATTTGCGTTTTTAGAGTTTGTTCTCCTTATTTTTAAGCATTCTTAAAGTTTTTATTTATTGTATTGAATCTTATCACGCATCTACTTCATTGCATTGCACGTACTAGAAATTCTACTATATTACTTTGGTAAATTGTTTGTTTCCTTTTTCTTTTTTGATTTCACATGCTTGTATGACACCTAAAGCTTAAATGCAATAAACATGTCATTTGTGTTTATTTTGAATAATATTGCTTTGAGTTATCTAACACTAGAGTTTAGGGTTTGTGTATGCTTTGTTTTCTAGTTCAACATTTTGTTTCAGTGTAGTTCAGAGATTGGATCAAAACCCTTAGTCTGAAGATTTGAATTCAAAATATATTGTTATCTGATTTTTGGTTTGTTTCTTTATGTGTTTGTGTTTTCATGTTATGATATATCTCTGTAGTGATTATTTGATTACAGAAAAATGGGTGACAACTAGGAAAGATTGAGACGGGGTAAAGTGGCCCAACATGCTTTCGTTTGCAGGGAGAAAGCTAGACTCTCGCGACCTGCAGTTGGAAAAACTTATTTTGCTGGTGAGGGATTGTCTTCCCAGGATCATGTATCTCTGACATCGTCTTCCAAGATTCAGGTGTTCCCAGCTACTCCACAACATTAGGGTGCATTATATCTAATGCAAACAATAATAGAAAATATTAAAAAATATGATGAAATAAACAAAAAACTATTCGAAAATGTACTTCCGCAGGAATTCATATAAAATTCAAAAATGCATTTACATACTTAACATAACTTTTACATCTCAAAAACAAGATAATGTGAGTAATGAGAAATGAAATAAATGATCTTTACCTTGAATTCCAACTTTACCTTGAGTTCCAACTTTACCTTCAAATTTCGGCTATACAAATCTGAAAACGCACTTCTGAAAAAGTCATTGAGTTATTAAATTAGGAACAAAATGGTAGCGTGAGTTTGGAAATGTATCTCCAAACTAAATTTTGGAAAACATATGAGATAGGATTCAATTGACTCGTGATTCAGTGAGGCTTAGGGTGTATCTGAAGATACATTTTCAGAACCAGAGCGACATTTTAGAATTTTTATAGGGTGATTTTCCACCACTTCAGGTGGAATTAGCAATTCCCTATATTTATTAAGCAAATATAAATTTAAGACTAGCCCACACAAAATATATTCAAACAAAAAATAATAGAATAAAAATTTAGGGTATTACTAACTAGCGCCCCAGAGGCACTAGATAAGGAGTATTAAATTGATCATACCTGATCAGAAGGAATCGTCGATGGCCCATGAGCTGAAGCTGAACGGGAGTTGAAAGTGAATGGGGGGTGTACCTGCAAGGTACTCTGATGCCAAAGTGAGAATATGGATAATCAGAGCGCAAGTACTAGAGATGAGAGTGAATTAATTAATACCTGACCCTCTCATGTTAGAGGATATTTATAGCTCCCATCGTTGGGCCAAGATTCACGTATTGAGCCCAACAGTTAGACCCAATAACGAAGACTGTCAGGGTCACGTGAGTGGCGGAGTCTAGCATGTGGCCTCCTCTCTAGTCAACTGCCCTGAGATAATAAGGAAGTTGGACTTGTTATTCTCGGTGGGCAAGATAGTGGTAGTTATGGATAACTGTTGGCCACGTCCTTCTAGTGGGCACGTGGGGAAATCCCCAACGGTTATCGATTTGGACTGGAGACCATTCGACCATATCAGAGGCATTGTATTGGGCCTACTCAACGGTGGGTCAAGTTCCAGTCCAACCCAAAATATGAGCCCCCTAAGTTATTGCTCTTGGGCGAAAGAGTGATGACTTAGGATTAACTTTAACAGTGGGGAATTTATTGCCCTACAGGGAATTAACTTCCTTCCTCGACGCTCGTGGACGAACCGTCGTGCATAACCATCATGTTACTGTTGGGGATGATATGGTCGATAGGGGGAGCGTATAATTATCCCTGGGCTTGTATTCTCGAGGTTGCTTGCTTATTCATTCATTGCTCGTCTTCACGTGGTTGCTCGTTTGGAGATTCGCGTTCGCGAGAAAGTGCAAAAATTTTCGTCGGGCTTGTATTCTCGAGGTGCCGTAGGAAAAGGTGTCGCAACGAAGTCGGGCACATATTTGTCAGTAAAGGTTTTTGAGTGTTAGCGCGTGGTCTCACACGTGAGATTTTGATGTGAGCAGTGCATCACAATGCGTGTCACGTGGAGGCTATTAAGAGCGATATCATTGCCTAGGGATGCCTAGGGGACTAGGCAATGATGATTTCTTGTATGCTACTCCGTATGGTGGAGACTAGTTATAAAAGGCAGTGAAGAGATTCACTTTGAGCATTTTCACTTTTGTTCTCCTTTTACTTTTCTTCTATTCGCAAGTTGCTCTGCTTTTGTCGCTGCCACCGTAGATCTTCAAACATTCACCCTTTCAAGTAAGTAGTTCTCTTTGATCATGTTAATTTACCCTAGGACTTTAGATGAACGAATGAAGTTTCCAGAGAAATCATGAGTTTTGGATGAAGATCCATGAATTTCCCGATGAAGTTCATGAATCTCATCTGAAGATCCATGAATTCTGAATGAAGATTCATTAATCTCAGATGAAGATCCATGAATTCTGGATGAAGATCCATGAATTTAGGATGAACTTCATGTGTCCGTGTCAGGGATTCCTCCCCACGATTTGGATATGTCTGAACAAGTTCCTCCACCAGGGAGCATGCTCGTGACTTTACGCAACGCTGGGGGAGTCTCCTATTTTCGTGTGATGCACCAAGGGCTTGAGCCGAGGACCTATCCTTAAGGCACTCCTCTCCCTTTCACTTGACTTGTGGTGGAAGGATGGATTTGATGATGCCAAATTCATTGTTTTCCTCTGCTTTTCAAGTTTAGATGTCTCAACCGATCGAAGAAGTCATTTTGCCTGACTCCCACGGTGAGGATGATGTTACTACAAGTAAGGCTATCGCGAGCGATAGCCTGGGTTAGGTCACACCTGAACCTAGAAACATGATGTCTGAGTTCGTTTATGGTTCTTCTAATGCGTTCAACATTGTTAAGGAGAAGGCAGATGATGCTCTCGCCTCCTAGTTGATTCTCACTCCAAAAAAGAGTAGGAGGATCTTCTCAGCTTACCCGGGAAAGCGTTTCCCCATTTATGAATTCACTTGTAAGGAAGCGAGGATTCGTCTACCCTTTATAAATTTCCAAGTTGGAGTTTTTAAATGGATGGACCTGGTGCCTTCTCAACTCTACTCGAATGCACTCGCGTTTATGCTGGCATTTGAGATTGTTTGCCGATACCTTAACATTGGTGCCACCTTAACCTTATTCTTCCAGATCTTTCACCTCCAGTGGCACACGCTCGGGGGACTCCAGGCCCGAGTGTCGTTCAAGCAGTTTAGAAAGTTGTTCCAATCGTACCTAGAGTCTATCCGACATTTCAAAGGAAAGTATTATGTCGTGAAGCCTATATTGGAAGCGGTCGTGGATTCTTTGTTCGACTGTATTGTAGAGATCGAGGATGGTCATGAGGTTATGAAGTTAAGGGCAAAATTTCCCCTTGAATGGCAGTGGAGGCATTTCGAGGAGAAGCCAGAGTGATACACAGTAAAGCCTAAGAAGTTGGACGCTCAGGATAGGCTCGCTTATGATAAATTGGCGCCCTATGTCAGGAGTTTCTCTCCCGCTATATGTGTAGATACGGACAACAACTTCATTTTGAACGATGAGGGGAGCATATCTATGTTGCCCGTCTTATATTCACAAAGGCACTCCTTGAATGTTCTTCTGATGAAGAGTCCTTAGAGCTCTTAGGTGGGGAACGTGACCGTAGTTTAACTTTGTCTGTTTTGTTTCGTAAACTAATTGTTTCCCTTTTGGATTTGCAAGTCGAATGGCGACTATCCCGGAGTATATGCTTAAGTTAAGGCCTAAGGGTACAAAGACATTGCTTAGGGACCGTGCTGCTGGAATGCGGGAACGGGACAAAGTTGACGCCCATGTCGGCAGCTCCTCTTCTGCCCAAGGTGATCAAGTTACTCCCTCTGCCCAGCCCTCAAAAAGGAGGCACGAGGGGAGTCCCGACTGTGTGGTTGTTGTGGATAAGGGCAAGAGCATCGGGGAGATTTTTGTGTTGCCTCTCTATTATCTCCGTCGTAACATCTTTAGCAGAGATAACTCCTTAGGTCTCCATGAAGAGGAAATGGAATCCATTTTTTCCGCGGATAAGGAGGTCTGACAGAAAAACCTGTCTGAGGACGTGGCCGTTGTGATGAGGGTTCTTGAGATTTACTTGACTTTAAATGACGCGGATGTGAGCAACCCCTTCATAATTGGTTTTTAATGATTGCAAATATATGTGAAATAATAAATGCATGTGTGCATTACAAAAATATAGTATAACATGTTTAAAATAAGTTTAAAAAAATGTGTTTTACTCATAAAGCATAATTATGAGTCGACACAACAGGTTTTGCATCGATTCATAACATACTGAAGTCCCTGAAATACTATCTCCAACTATTATGCATCGATACAAAATCTTATGCATCGACATATAACACTTTGATGCCCCTGTAATGCAAACTTAAACTTGTATGCATCGACACAAAACCTCATGCATCGACACATGACATTTTGATGCTCCTGGAAAACATTTTTGAACTTATATGCATCGATACATAATATCATGCATCGTCACATGACATTCTGATGCTCCTGTAAAACATTCTTTTGAATTTATATGCATCGATACATAATATCATGCGTCGACTCATACCATGTTTTATGTTCAAAAATTAAAAATACAATCAGTATGCATCGACACATACGTGTTATGCATCGACAGATGTAAAATAGTTGGTTCTGTAAAATGTTATGATATGTTGTAGCCGCCTCTACCTCTGTCAAACCATTTACCTTTGCCTTTGGTTTCTTTTGTTGAATGTGCCTGCAAAGCCACACCACTCTTCGACTTGCATGCAGTTCTTTCATTCATTCTTTGTTCATGAGATTCAAGCGTCCCTTGAAGCTCTTCCTTTGTCAATTTTGACAAGTCTTTCCCCTCTTCTATAGCCACCACCACGTGGTTGAACTTAGGAGCCAAAGATCTCAAGATATTCGAAATAACAGCTCTTGTTGTTAATGTTTCTCCACATATCTTGATTTAATTCACTAGTTTTATAACCCTAGTGAAGAAATTAGATATGCTCTCACTATCTTCCATCTGAAGCAAGTCATATGTTCTTTTGTGAGTTTGTAACCTCACTTCTTTCACCTTTTCTGCACCACCAAAGGACTTCTCAAGAATCTCCCAAGCTTCTTTTGCAGATTCTGAATCACTCACTTTTTTGAAATTTTTTAGACTCAGACATTGATGAATTATAAAGAGTGATTTATAACTCAGCTTCTCTGATTCTATGTGTTTCTTCTTCTGAAGCGTTTTCTCCAAGCGCTTCCAACTCATCCTTTACAAGGTCTCAAAGACCTTGACACCTGAATAAAACTTTCATCTATTTGCACCAATTCTCATAGTTGTCTACTTTCAGAATTGGTGGAGTTGCTGGATAATTTGCATTCCCATAACTGACCATCGTGAATTCTTTAATCGTTCTTGATTGATACTTTCCTTGAATCGATTAACCGAGCTCTGATACCAGATGTTGGAAATCCACCAAATATCTATGATGAATTTCTACCAATATTGATGAACAAGATTGATATCACCACACAATGATAATGAATTATGAGAAAAGAAAAGAAAGAAGACAATTATTTTCTGCAGAGATTCTCTCTGCCCATAAACTATAGAAAATTTTATTAATCACTTGCAACTGTAAATTCAGTGATTACAATAAATTGACTTAATTGTCTTGATTACAAAAATAGGAGTTACTCCCTCTATTTATAGATTTAAGTTACTAAAGCCCAAAACTATAAAAGTCTAAAATATCTATTTTAGATCTAAATCAAATCTATCTAAATCTAAAATAAATCAAATATGCGTGTAGCTTATTTCAACATACTTTATTTTTTAATGTCAAGTTCAATTATCCTCACCCTTTTTCATTCCAAAACAACTTTACTTTATTTATTAGTGTCAAATTCTATAATCCTCACCCTCATCCACCTCCACACTTACATAACATTGTTAGCAACTAAGGAACTATATTCAAGCTGCTTCAACAGAGATAGATTAGTTAGCAAGCACCATGGATGATTCTGTGAGAGTGATATCCACAAGTACAATTCAAGCACCAAGTGACAACAACATCAATGGTAACTCAACTGACTTTCTGAAAATTCATTTAACACCATGGGATCTCCAATTCCTCCCAATGGAAACCATTCAAAAAGGCCTTCTTTTCCACCACCAAACCAATACTGACCCATCATCTTTAAAAAACCAAATCCATCATATGAAACAAACCCTTTCCACCACTCTTTCCTTCTTTCCACCCCTCGCCGGCCGTCTCGTAATCACTCAACACCAACAACAAGAAGAAGAAAACAACAGTGCAGCATCATGTTACATCATCTGCAACAACCTTGGTGCGCTCTTTGTCCATGCCACAGCACAAAACACAACTGTTTCTGATATCCTTCAACCAGAAAACTATATTGTACCTCCCATTGTCTACTCTTTCTTCCCTCTCAACGGTGTCAAAAACTGGGAAGCAACTTCCCACCCGATTCTTGCTGTCCAAGTAACAGACTTACTTGACGGCTTATTCATTGGCTTCTCAATCAACCACTCAGTTATAGACGGAAAGTCGTTTTGGCATTTCATCAATTCTTGGTCTCAAATCTCACGAGGAGTTTCTTTAAACAAACATCCTTCACCTTCACCTTCACCTTCACTTAAACGCTGGTTTCCAAACGACATTCATCAACTTCCCGTACATTTCCCTTTCACAACTGATCAATTCATCCAAACCTCCAAACCAAACAACTTAGGTGAAAGAGTATTCCATTTCACGAAGGAGAAAATCGCGGAACTGAAATCAAAAGCAAAGGCAGAAACTGATATGAATATTACAATCTCTTCACTTCAAGCGGTATTATCTCATGTTTTGCGTTCTGTGGTTCGTTGCGAAAGACTTGATCCACAACAAGACGTTCTTTTCATATTGCTGATAGGAGTTAGGCCAAGGATGATTCCACCGCTCGAAGATGAATATTTCGGGAACGCGGTGTTGCTTTGTGATTTTACAATGAAAGCATGGGAGATTCTAGAAGGTGGTACTGGAAAAATCGAATTGGAGATGAACAAGATGATTTCTGTAAATTCTGATAATGAGAAAATAAGAAACAGTTACGAGTGTTGGTTGAGAAACCCGAAGTTGCTTACACGTGGTAACTTCACTCGTTGTTATACATTGACAACAAGCAGTTCTCCGAGCTTTGATGTTTATGGTAATGATTTCGGTTGGGGAAAGCCTGTGGCAGTTCGATCCGGGGGTGCGAATAAAAGAAATGGAAGGATTAGTGTGTTTACTGGGGCAGAAGAAGGAAGTATAGACATTTCACTGACTCTTCAGTATGAGATCTTGGAGGCCCTGGGAAATGACATGAGTTCATGCATTAATGTAAATGGCCGCGATCACGTTGCGGTCGCTTAAGGAGACTATGCTTATTAAGTTATTTTATACTATTGTTGGGAAGAACCTATCATTCTTGTGTTGTTATAATAATTAGTATAAACAAGCGATTATGTAAGCATTTTGCTTCAACCTTGTAAACTTTATGTCATATCTTCATATTAATCATGTTTGATTTATTTTCTAGTTTTTCATCAAGTTCATGTAATTTCAACCGATTTGGTTGTTAATCTTGAATAGTTGCTTATTTATGAATGATAGAGTTGAAACTCATGCTCTGAAGGTAAAATGCAGATATTATTGTTGTGTTAACTTTTAGAATAGAGATGAACTAGTTTGTATACAAAGCTAACTCAAAGCATAGAAATTTAGCAATTTCACAGAAGGCTAAGTAACAACTAAATACATTCTAACTAACTCCTAACCAATGACAACTAATTATGTTAGTTGTTGAGAGATTTCAAAAGGCTTAAGCTTAGACTTCTCTAACACTCTCCCTCGAGATCAAACGAGGCTTTCAAAAGTGATCTTGAGCTCGAACTTCAATTCTTGAAAAGCAGTTGTTCTGAAAGATTTGGTCAGAGTATCGGCTATCTGAACTACAACAGGAACATGTTATATGAGAAGCTTCTTAAACACTACTCTTTCACGAACAAACTGAATGTCCAACTCTATGCGCTTGATGCGGGCTTGTAATATAGGATTATGCGAAAGCAAAGCTCCACTCAAGCTATCACATAATAATGTTGGAGTATAGAAAGGAATGCCAAGTTCATCCAAAAATGATTCTAACCATAAAAATTTAGATGTAGAATGTGGTAGAGCACGGTATTCCACTTTTGGGTTTAAAGAGCTACTAGAGACTGCTTCTTACAACTCCATGATAAAAGATTTAGGCCAAAAAAATATAATTACTCCATGTTTTATATTAAAAGATGTTAGAATAAAGTTTGGTTGTAATCATAACTTAGAGTTTTAATGATAACAATGAAATAAATTTTGTGATATATATTTTATACTCTGACTTGTATGTTCTCTAAGTTCAGATAATGTTCTGACTTATGCATCTTAGAAAGAAACAACATTCTACGCAAGTCCAAAGCAAACTCAGAAGAAAGCAATCCAAAGCAAACTCTGATGAAGAGCAATCCTAAGCAACCTCTGATAAAGCTAGCTGAAGCAAAGATCTGATAGAAGCACGCTGAAAGCAACATCTGATAATGCAAGATTAAAGCAAACTCTGATGAACACATAACTTGAAGAGTACTCTGATAGAAGAAAAGATCAAGTAAACTCTGAAATGGCAACGCTGCAAGCAAACACTTCAACTTCCAGAGACAAGCTCTGACAGTACCGTTGGTTATTAAATGCTAAGACGGCTAACGCACTCAAGTGTACTACGCGCACGAGCATTGGAAACATAAAGACCAAGCCTACACGCAACACGCATCATTGCAAACACGCTTCATTAAATGCGTGCACTATCATCAAGGCATTAACAGTCAAGAATTGGAAGCTATATATAAAAGACATTTTGTTTCAAAGAAAGGTTACTTACTTACGTGAAACTTATTTACGCTCACTGTTTTCATACTTGTAAACTAATACTTTATAGTTGGTAGATCTTAAGTATTGGGCAACAATCTTAGTGATAAATCACAGTTTGTGATAAAGCTTTTTAGAAGCAAATCTGTTTCAGTACTATTAAGAGATAATTTTGTAAGTGTTCCTTGAGAGACCAGTTGAATCAGATTTCTCAAGAGGACTAGACTAGTTTGAGTCTTAGAGGTGTTAGTCACTTGCAGTTGACTTGTGCATTATATTGTTAGTCACATCAATTTGGTTGTGCATTTGTAATCAGTTTGATTATAGTGGATTAAGTCCTCGTTGAGAAAGACAAAATCACCTTGGCGGGTGGACTGGAGTAGTTTGAGTTTCAAACGAACCAGGATAAAAATACATGTGTCCTTCCATTAGTATTGCGCGAGAAAAAGGAAAAACCTTATTCAACCCCCTTCTAAGTGTTTTCTCACTCTTCAAAAGAAACTGTATAAATTGATTTAGAATCATTTTTTCTTCACTCAATTTTATTATATAACCGTTTTTCTTCCCCTAAACTCAATATTCTAAAATAAAAACTTTAAATATTATTTCTCAAAATACTACTATCTCTGTCCTTAAATATAAAATCTTGTAGGCAAAATTAAGCTCATTAAAAAAGTTAGTTAGAATATTAAATGTATTAACTATTTATATAATTTTATAAGTTTATCTTTAAGAAAGAGAAATAATTTGATATTTATACAAATGTATTTATTATTGATTAAAGAAAAAGATATAATATAATTCGGGATATGTTTGAAAAAAAATAATTTATATTTTAAAAGTTGAAAAGAATCTTATAAAAAAAATAAGAAATTTTTTTAAGAAAATCTTATAATTAATAACAAAGGTAAGGTATTATTTAACTTGTGGAGAGAAAATTATATATTTTTCAAATATTTAAACAAATATAAATCGTCACGCATTTAACCGAAATTGACCAAACATGGACCAAACCTTACTTTTATGAATGCCTTGCAGTACAGTACGTATTTCTTAATATCAAGAACGTCCAATTGTTTGTTTGCGACAATGCAGGTTCTTTTATAGAAATTGGGTGTGACTTATCACATATAGTATGCATGCATGCATTCATTTACTATGCTTGTTGTGGATGTCGACATTCAAAATCTGAAGTTATTATTTCTCTAATCTACCACAGAAAGCATCAACTACACACATGACATGACATGACATGACATATCGGTTTTAGTTTGTTTCTCATAGGTGATTTTCTCATGAAAGAATCAAGACTAGTGACTGATTTTTCAGTAATATGGTGAATCATAAACCATCTATCACACTGCTGCAATTTCTTTTTCCGTCAAAATCAAAGCTGTCCAGTTTTTATAGTAGAGAACTTGGCTTATTAGTATATTTTCTATCATTTACTGTTGATCTAAATTTTTTTATATATGAAAATTTACTATTGATTCAGATATTTTTGTAAATGATATTTAAACAAAAATAATTTTCGTGTACGGTAAATTTTTTTATTATTGATCTAAATATTTTTATATACGAAAAGCAGCATTTATGACTCAAATATTTTTGATTCAATAGATGGTATACGAGAAAAAATTTATTATTGATCCAAATATTTTTATATATGAATATTTATTATTGATCCAAATATTTTTGATAACGATACATAAACAAAAATAATATTTGTACACGGGAACATAAAGTTACTGATCAAAATATTAATTATTAACGGAAACATGAAGTTATTGATCAATTTTTTTATTAATTATACATTCAATTATTATTTTTTCACGGTTACTAGACATTTTTCTATTACAAAATATACATCTGAAACAAATGCGCGTCACGTACCACAATTCATGTGAACGAACAAGTTTGTTACTAATATACATAAGGTTTTTAAAATATCTTACAAAAACGGCTCCTACAAAATGGTACCGGCAATATCGTTATTCACTAAAGAATAAATTGTGATAATTTACAATGACCGCAATCAACGTTACAACTTATTTCGAACGAAAGCGCAAATTTTTTTTGTTTGTATTTGAATAGTTAATATTTCATATAAGATAGTTTTAAAAAAATTGTTTAGAAAGAAGGCTATAGGAATCGTGTGGCTATAGGAAATTGTTACGTTGTAATAAGGACCGTAGTTTAAAGCCTTAGCGGAGAAAATGACATTGGTATTCTTTTTATATAATAAATTATCAATTATCAATTATTTATTTATAGACTAAGTCACTTATCTCTCAATGATGGTAAATGTTTCTAAATTATTTCACTTCTTTCTTGATGTTTCATGATAAATTATTATCATGCTAATTATATGTTCTATTACCATTTTCATACACATTCTAGAAATTTGTAACAATTTTAACATTCCTCCTTGATGCAAATTTTTGTGACTCCAAGCGTAGCTCGTAGCTCTTCAAATCTTGGTCTCAACAACGTCTTCGTGAATATGTCTGCAATTTGAACTTCTGTCTAGAAATAGTCGAGTCTGATCTCTTTAGTTGCTTCATCTTCTTTGATAAAGTGATACTTGATTGCTATGTGTTTTGTTCTACTGTGATGCACTAGATTCTTCGACATTGTAATTGTTGATTTGTGTTGCAATTGACTGTAGTAGGCTCATTGTGTTTTTCTCACATGTCTTCAAGTATCCCGCGAAGCCATATAGCTCGTGTCGTTGCTTTAGCAACTGTCACATACCATGCTTATGTTATTGATTGTGCAACTGTAGCTTGCTTTTTTGATGTCCAAGAGAAAATTCCTGATCTGAGTGAGAAAGTATAGAAAGAGGTGCTCTTAATGTCATCTACTGAACCTGCCCAATCACTGTCGGTGTAGCCATGTAATGTTGAGTCGATTTTGATAGTGTATCGTATACCGAACTCTTTTGTTCTGTTCTGGACTGGCCCGACAGCTTGATTGGGCCCAATCTAAGAAATCTCATGAGTGCCAACCGCTGGCCGTTGCCCAGGCCAATCCCGCACGTGTCGGGAAATGCCTCCCCTCTTGCCCTTCTGGCCTAACACCAACCCAAGATGCCCTTCGACCATCTCCCCAACCTTCCCAACACCAATGTAGTGCGGGCCTCCAGGAACCGACCATATGGATGCCCGTAACCAGCTCTCCCCCGGGATCAACGGCTAGTTACGTGCACATCTGTCTGGTTTGACCAAGTCCTGGCAGTTACCTGATTTTCTGGACCCGCATATCTAGGAGGGAAATCAGGAACCAATGGCCACGCGCCAGGGGCATTGTATAAACCCTCACACCTGTGAGGGCCAGGTATCACATACTCACTACTCACTATCTAATATTTTGCTAGTACCTTCTTGCTCCCACTCTTACTTGATCGTCGGAGTACCTTGAAGGTACAACCCCCTCTCTCCTCTGCCCGATTGAAGATCATCCTCCAGCCAATCTCC